ATATATATATATATATATATATATATATATATATATATATATATATATATATATATATATATCAAAGCCTATTAATTAAAAAGAGGTCACAAATTTGAGAAGGGGAAAGGAGGACCCAGGGGAAGAGATGGAGGGAGAATGATGCAATTATATTTAAATTTAAAAAATCCTGAGAGCAATTAAAATCATTGACTTGATCCCCATAGTTGAATTTATTGCTGTTTTCCAATAAAGTACAATCTGAAACTGCTGTTTCAGAGGGGAAATTTCCACAACTTGTGAACTGTAAATAAGTCTCTACAGATCTCCCCAGAAGATTGTACATGACAATGTTCTAAAAATAACTCAGTATAAGTCATGCTTTGCTATTATTCCCTTATGTGGATGGTAAACATGCTTGTATCTGCAGGACTTCTGACTAGAGGATTTCCTAAAAGGGTTCAACCATGGTCAAGAAAAACACTTAAAGACGGTAAGAAAATACCGCTGATAAAACTTTTATATTACAATCTCTTTGTGAGATGGTTTACAGAAATCTATTTGTTACTTTTTAGAATTAACCTCAGTTTTGTAAGTCTTTTAACCTTCCATTTTGTAGATAACCAAGTCATTAGTGAATCTTCCAGAAGACTTAAAAATTCATGATTAATTCAATAATTGGTCAATATTAATAAATTCTTCCATGTTATTCCATTGTCTTTGAGAAACTGGAACCTTCTGACTACAAACTGAGGAGAAGTCCCTTCAAAAGAATTTATGTGATATTACACTATGGTTTTTGTGGCTTCAGTAAAATAGTTCTTCATTGACATATTTTTTTCTTTCAACAAACAGGTAAGGTTTTGTATTACTTAAGTGTTGCTATTGAGAGATGTGATTCACACAGGAGCAAGTACTTATGGTAAAAGAACCATAAAAAAAAAGAGAAAGACAATTGCAGTTGCTTTTTCAAAACCTCAGGTGCATCTGGGAAAAAATACAAACTCTTACATCATAGGGGGCTTTCTGAACTTTGTGAAACATGCTTAGATTTATAAAATTGTACAGACAAAAGAACTTCAAGGAGCTCTAATTGGTTAGTTGCTTACCTTATCATAGTCATTTTCACCTTTCATTGGAGGCAAAAACATTTGGAAAAGTGAGTGAGATAATCACTTAAAATATGCAATGGTCCTCAGTGAGTTAACATGCTGTGAGCCTTTCCCACAGAATCTGATGTTCTCTGCTGTTTGTCAGTACACATTTAAGATGTGATTCAAAACATCTGTATAAAGAGATCATAGGTGATCTTCAGGCTTTCTTTTTGAGTTTCCTTTGTTCTTGCTATATTACTTTAGATCACCAGAAACATATCAAACCATTACTTTACTTAAAGGAATAGTAAAACCAGTATTTTTTCTTGCCTTACATAGGCATATATACATATGCAAAACCCTTATCTTTTTTGTGAAGCATCATTAAAATCTTCATGTTTATTAAGGTTGATAAACATGTCTCATGTTCATGAACTGAAGTTGCTAAAAATTTAAGAGAAATACAGTGAGGAATACATAACTAACTCCAGATGCATATTCTTCCAAAAGCTGAATTTTAACCTATTGAGCAAGTTCCAAGATTCACCAAAAAGAATGGCTAAAAATATTTAAATACTATTATATAAGAGTAGATCCAAATAAAAAAATTCATGGAACTTTCTATTATAATGGATTTGTGAGCTTAAGGCAACCCCATGTTTGGACTTTTCAACTATTTGTTTTCGTGTTTTGTCCATGGCATGACAATAATAACACAGAGAATGAATGAATTATATAATGAATGAGTCGTTTTACCCATCTAAAATATGATTTCAAAGAATAATTGGGAATATATAGTTTACATGGCATTTCAGGAGCAATATTCATGTCTTTTGAGTTAAAAAAGAATGAGAATCATGGGAAGGCAAAGGAATCTCAGTATCCCTATAAGTAAATCAGGAGAGAAAATAAGTAAATCAGGGAGAAAAGTAAATCAGGGGAAAAATTAGAAGTTGAAAATTGTCACCAAATTGAAACTGTATATGTCAGTGTCCACTTTGACAAAACGTTTATAAAGACTGTTGTCCCAGCATAATTACAACATAGTAACAACACCAGACTTGCCACCCAGGCATGCTTTGTCTTCCCTTAATTATCTTATTTAATTCCCCCAGTTATACCTCTAAGTAGACTTACTTACTTCTTTTTGCAGAAGGAGATGTAATGTTCAGATGAATTATGTTAGGACTAGTCACACTGAGGTTTCAAACAATAAGTCTCTTATGCATTTCTTCTAGAAATTAGGCTCTAAGTCTACTAAGAATGATGGTATGCTATACTGTCACTCAGAAATTCTTTAGCATGAGGAAAGTGCTCCCACACCACTCACCCCAGCACATCTACTCTTCATAGAAGTATGCTACTTGCATTAAAGATTTAACCTCTTCTATTTCTTAATAAAATCTGATGCTTTCAGTGAAGAGTCTCTCGCATTGTGTAGACATATGTAAAATATACAGACAATAATAAAGTGTGAATTTGCATAGGAGGTTAAAACACAACCCAGAGCTTGTTAGTTCCTGATGATATTGTTTTAAAATGGAAAGAAAGAGCATTTCACCATTATGATATTTATTTTAGGGTTTATTTAACTTCCAGTTAGAATGTTAGTAAACAGTGCAAAAGTAATCATGAAATCTATCACTGAGTTTATCAAAACATCCTCCAAAGTATGTTTAAACCAATGTAGACATATGGTAATAATAAATTGATTTAATTTCAGTGTTATCTTAACTCGGTTTAGACAATTAAACTTAGGGATGTTTTGGTATGAATTAAAGATTTGTTTTAGCCCGAGGATGAAATCCAATTAATAGTTTTACAAGAAATAATTCAAATTCTCAATTTTTATACTTCATAATCCACAATGGTGCAATTAGAAAGCCCCTAATATTGATGAAATGAGATAGTAAAATCATATCTCACATGCCTACTTTCATTCTAAAAAAGTGAATTATGTAGAAATATCAACTTCTTTTGAGTTCAGACTGATTGATTTCATTGGTAGGTAATACCAAAAAAAATAATTTTGATAATGTTATAAAGTTGTTTGCATTTCAACCAACAGGTTATAGTATTTTTGAAATACGTGGATAAATCATTAATATTATTCAGATTTCACAGTTCATTCTCCTGTTTATAATTAGTGCACCAAATTTGATTTTCAATTTCATTACTTTGAATTGCTAATTATTTCTACAACAAGAGTCTATCTTGTATTACATCTTCCAACTTTTGCTCAGTTTCTCTATTAGTACGTTCTGTTTTTCTTGCTGCTGCGGATCATCTAGTCGCTGTCAGGTGGCACTGATGGAGAACAGCACAGAAGTGACACAGTTCATCCTCATGGGACTCACCAATGCCCCAGGCTTGCAGTTTCCCCTTTTCATCACCTTTCTCCTCATCTATATCACCACCTTGGTGGGGAACCTGGGGATGTTCCTGTTGATTTTCTTTGACTCTCGACTCCACACCCCCATGTACTTTTTCCTAGGTAACCTGTCACTTGTGGACTTTTGCTACTCTTCAGCTGTCACTCCCACGGTCATGGCTGGGTTTTTCTTAAGAGAAAAGGTCATCTCCTACAAAGCTTGTGCTGCTCAGATTTTCTTTTTTGGATCCTTTGGTACTGTGGAGAATTTCCTGTTGGCCTCAATGGCCTATGATCGATATGCAGCAGTGTGTAAGCCCCTACACTATGCCACCACCATGACTACAAATGTGTGTGCATGGCTGGTCACAAGTTGCTATGTCTATGGCTTCCTGAATGGCTCCATCTACACTGAAGACACATTCAGGCTCTCCTTCTGTGGATCCAATGTGGTTCATCACTTTTTCTGTGACGTTCCAGCTGTCATGGTTCTTTCTTGCTCTGATAGACATGCTAATGAGCTTATTCTTATCGACTTAGCCAGGTTCAATATCTTCCTTGCTCTTGTGGTTATCATAATATCATACACATTCATTTTTATCACCATCCTAAAGATGCACTCAGGTAGAGGATATCACAAGGCTATATCCACCTGTGCCTCCCACTTCACTTCAGTCTCTATTTTCTATGGGACTCTTATCTTCATGTACTTACAGCCCAGCTCCAGTCATGCTATGGATAATGACAAAATTGCATCTGTCTTTTACACTATGGTCATCCCTATGTTGAACCCTCTGGTCTACACCCTAAGGAACAAGGAGGTCATGAATGCATTCAGAAGGATGGTTTTCGAAACCAAATAATCATTGGATTATTTTTATCTTTTGAAGATACAGAATACCTGGATTAATTCCCCTGAATTCCTCTTTATATTTTAAGTAAAACTATGAACAGTGAACATTACATTTCACAATAATGAGCTCAATAATGACCCAAAACGGTTTATTGATATTTTAGAAGTTCAATATTATTTTATTTAATTTTTTCATTTAATATATTTTGTTCTATTGTTTGCATTCCTCAACTTCTCTCAGATCCTATCCACCTCCCTCTAAGCCTATCTTCATGTTTTTTTTTCTCAATATCACGCAGATAATACTGACACATCAGGGTAAGGATGTTAAGAATGGCATTAAATTTATATTGAAAATGAAAGTCTGAACCAGACCAATGACTTTTGCAATGAACACTTCCATGAAGAGATGTATGGAAAAAAGGATATATGGCATGTCTTGTGGTATTGCAGTGTAGTGATGTGATTTTTAATTCCTTCTATTTTTTAAAAATAATTTTATTTTCTTCCTTTTTCTCCTGAATTTTGTTCCATTAGGAGGGAGAGCCAAGGATGGAGGAGGATGTAAACGAATGGGGAAATGAATGGGATCAAGATGTCAAAAACACATAGAATAAATAAATTAAAACATGATAAACCACTGTGATTCTCCATGTATGTACCAAAGGCAATTCCATTTGTCCTTATCAATGGTATTTAGGATGTTTTAACTTTAGTTGAAGGGCAGTTGGTGATATGACACTGTAGCAACATTAGTGTAATGTGAGCACAGATGGTCTCAGTCTGCAGAGGCTGGTGTAGACAGGGAAAAGACTTTCCCTAAAACCTGGGGGATGACCATGGCTCATACAGACCCCTCACTTCTTAGACTGATTTTAGATTTTTAGAACTGTGGTCGTTGTACGCCTCTTATTTGGAGTAATGTGCTAGATCCACCATAGGGCATATTAACAAACCCTCACCAGCTCCTTCTCTGTCATAGTCTTATGATTTTACTAAACTTTGAAAGAAGTCTCAAGTGAAACTACTTGTTCCTGTGCCTTTCTTTTGGAGGGCTTACTCTTTAGTCAATTCTTCTATTTATGATGCATTCAGATTATACCTTACTTCTCAGTCAGCTTATTCTGTCATTTACCAGGAATTTTGTTTTGTTGTTGTTCTTCAAAATTTACTTATTCATAAAGGTGTTATAATTACTATATCAAAGGTAAGGTCTGTAATTTTATTCTCAGTTTATTATATTGTTTTATTTTTTTTTCCTTTTTCTATAGTCAATCTATAAAATTTCACCATTTAGACTGATATTTCCTTTGGTGTGGGAATAAAACGTTTCAAATTACAGAGGTTATTTCATTGCTTACATCATGAAACAAAATTCAGACAGTATCTGTAATTTGGGTAAAATTCTGATGAAAACAATTTAGGTAATGCATAGGAATTGATTCTACAAACCTCTCGCTAGAATAGAGGTTATTGATGACTATCTTCATAAAGATGATTCCTCATATTCTAATTTTCAGGATCCTACTTCTCCACAATCAATGCCTTAACTTCTATAGTAGACACACACTGGAAATTTTAATTCCAACTTAAGGCAGTCACTCATGCCCTTGGCCATTTCAGCAATCTTGACACTCTTGCTCTAGAACAAAAGCATCTTTTTCAGAAGAAACTTAGAAGCTTTGAGGTAATTGATCCATAACTCATGCTTATAACTGAGACTTCTAAGATCACTCTTTTTCCTTCACATTTGTCAGCAATATTAGGAGACACTTGCATATTTCAATATAAACAAGTATGAGAATCATATACAAATAGCCCTTACTTCCCCTCTTGATGTACTTTAATCTTTAAAATGAAATAGATTATTTCACCTTTGGAAGATTTTGGCCATGGTCATTATTAGATCCTGATGGAAATAAAATTAGATAGAAGAGACATTGGTACCAAGTTTATGGGGGTATTTCGGTCTCATATATGACCACTGGGTTTGGAGAGTATTGCAGGGAATTTTGAAACTTTGTGTAGGAAAAGTTATTGAGTGCTTATGGCTTGAAGGCTGTTCTAGCAGAGCTTGGAGGGTCAGAGTTTGAAAGAAGACCATATCATGCCAGAATTTGGGTAGATGATTTCATGATTCTTCTTGTCCTCCTTTGATGTATCTCTAATATGTTAATATCCCCAATAGGAACTTGCTAAAAGGAATATCCCTGACCATCTCTAATTACTGGGGACTTAGCCTTTTTATACAGAACCATACAGGCTCTTTCTCTCAGGTCCTCTCAGTATTTCTATCTATATTTCTTTATGTTAATTGAAGATCACCACACCACTTTCCATCAAGAACCCCAAGTAGCCATATTGGACTAGGACCTAGTTAGGAAATCCCCACCAGCCTTCCTCTCCTACGTTAAATTCTTAGGAGCCTCTCCTGTCACCACAACATAATTAACTGGAGCCTCAACCTTTTGGTGTGGATTCAGAGTTCTCCTAGTTCTTTCATCACTGTCTGCCCAGATTTATTGTCTTACTGCAGTTTAAATGTAGAAACCTCTTCTCCCACTACAAATCTACTCTGTGGGAATGATGCATCTTAGTAGAGGTTCAAGTCTCTTTCTCACAGACCATCTCAATCTCTCCTTTTAGCTCAAGTGCATTCCTTTCTGCTACCAATCAAATTACAGAAACCTTCTCTACCAGGGACTCCATAACCACATCATTGTCTAAGATCCAGAATAGAAGACATCAACCAACATTCACAAGACAAAACATAAATATCAAGAAACACTTCCAACATCATAACTCCATATTGATAGACCACAGCAAACAGAAAACTAATCGTAAAAGAGAACAACAAAAAACCTAAGGAAACAAAGTGAAAAACTCAAACACAGGTATCCAAAACATTCTGCCTACTTGACATTATTATTGTAAAACACGAGAATGACAATATAATTGAAACACAAGGCAAGAACCCCAATATACCAATTATGAATATGATCAATGATGTTATTTAACTATATCTCTTAACCAATCACATGACAACACAAAGAAGCAATCAGATGAAATAACAAAAAGCAGTTCATAATATAAAGTAGAAACAGAATCACTAAGAAAAACCTAACTGAAGAAAAACTGGAAATGAAACATTTAGGATATCAAACAAAAATCCTCAGAAGTATGCCTCATAAACAGATTACAAGAGATAGACGAATAAATCTCAGATGTTGAAGACAAGAGAATAAAAGCATAGTTCAATCAAAGAAAATGTTAAATCAAAAAGGATCCAGACCCAAAACTTCCAATAATCCTGGTATACTATGAAAAGACCAAATTTATGAATGACAGGGATATAGGAAGGAGAATAAACCCAGTTAAAAAACACAGAAAATATTTTAATAAAATTTAACAGAAAATTTTCTTTTTTCTCAAAGTTTATTAAAATACAAAAGTCTCCATTTCCGCCCCTCCTCCCAACACACTCCCGCTCCCCCCACTCCCTCTCCTCCTCCCTCTCCATCCCCAAGAGCAGTCAGGGTCTCCCTCCCTGTGGGTAGTTCAAGCTCCTCCCCCCTCCCTCCAGGTCCAGGAAGGTGAGCATCCAAACAGACTGGATCCCAAAAATCCAGTATATGCAGGGGAAACAAGTCCCAGTGTCATTGTCAATGGCTTTTCAGAAAGACTCTGGGCTAGCCACATTCAGAGAATCCGGCCTCATTCAGAGAATCTGGCTGGATCACATGCTCGCTCAATCCCAGTCAACTGGCCTTGTTGAACTCTCATTAGATCAGTCCCCTTGTATCAGTGGGTGATCGCACCCCTCGCGGTCCTGATTTCCCTTTTCATGTTCTTCCTCCTTCTGCTCCTCATTTGGACCTTTGGGGGGCTCAGTCCGGTGCTCCAATGTGGGTCTCCATCTGTATCGCCAACCATTGTCGGATGAAGGTTCCCTCTGATCTTGCCTTCCTTGCTCACGCTCTCTTTCCTTCTGCTTCTCGTTTGAACCTAGGGAGTTAAGTCCAGTGTTCCATGTGGGTCTCCGTCTCCATCTCCATCCATCGCCAGATGAAGGATCTATGGTGATAAGCAAAATATTCATCAGTATGGTTATGGGCCAAGGCCAGTTCAGGCCCCCTCTCCTCTGTCCAGAGAACAATCTGGGGATCTCTCCTTGGACCTGGGATCCCATTTATAATCAAGTCTCTAGTAAACCCTAAACTGACTCCCTTAGTTGAGATATATTCTTCTCTGATCCCATATCTATCCTTCCTCCCTCCCTCCCTTCCAGTCCCCTGAGCATTTCCCATTCATCCCCTGCTCCCTTCTCTCTAACCCTCTCCCATTCCAACAACCCTCCCACCCCCCCATGCACCCGAGGTTACCTGGGACTCTTGTCTATTTCCAATCTCCAGGAGGAAAACTACCTGAATTTTCTTCAGGTTCACCCTCCTATCCAGCTTCTCTAGAATCACGAATAATAGGTTCAAAGACCTTTAATTATGGCTAGAATCCACTTCTGAGTGAATACATACCATATTCCTCTTTTTGGGCCTGGCTTACCTGACTCAGTAAAGCTTTTTCTTTTTTTATTATTATTATTTTTAATTTTTTTTAATTTTTAATTTTTTAATTTTTTAATTTAATTTTTACTGGGAACCCCTCCAGAATCAAGTCTCTTGCAAACCCTAAAATGGCTCCCTTATCTGAGATATAAACCTCCCTGCTCCCACAACCATCCTTCCTCCCTCCCCCCCCCTCCCATTCCCCCAAGTCATCCCCAATCCTCCCCCTCTCCCTTAGCGATCAGGGAAATGCAAATCAAAACCACTTTGAGATACCATCTTACACCTGTCAGAATAGCTAAAGTCAAAAACACCAATGATAGCCTATGCTGGAGAGGATGTGGAGTTAGGGGAACACTCATCCATTGTTGGTGGGAGTGCAAACCTGTGCAGCCACTGTGGAAATCAGTGTGGCGGTTTCTCAGGAAACTTGGAGTCATCCTCCCTC